TGTATAAATGAGGTGATTTCTATAGTGAAGGCTTTTTGTGCATTTGTTTTCGTATGGGTGTTCTTTAAAGTGGGGCGTCTGTAGAGACTGAAAAATAATCCGATGCCACAGATTTTGATGATAAAACTAAAGTGAAAAAGCGGAGACCCAGGTGATTGAAAATTTCGTCAGTGAGGAAAATGAATTACAGCCCTACTCCTGAAATTTCCAGTTTCACCTTCTCTTTCATTCAATCATTCATTTGTACAAGAAAAAAAAGATTCATCTGCCTTAGCTACACCTTCTCTCAAGACTCGAGCACTTTCCAACTGATTCATCTGCTCCTCTTTGAATAATCAAATTTATTTCGCTCTCATCTGCTTGGATGCAATGCTTTAATTTCTCTCTCTTCTCTTTACCAATGCCATCTACAGTAATAATAGCTAGGCAGTCTTGTTGGTTGCTAATGCTTTGTGCCTCGTATTATATTACTTATCTTCTTATGAATTTTACATGGGCTTGTGATATTAGATAATAGCATGGACTAGTGGCATGCATCAATAGCCCATGTAAAGTTAGATAAATTTTCCATCCATTTTTGTGCACACCTTCTCCTTTGAAAAGTTCATTTTTGCTCTGTTTGTTTTTTCTTAAAATGAGTTTGGGATCTTTTAAAAGTATTATTTGGGAATTCTAAATCTATTTTCAATTTTGGTTTTCATGCTCATATGATTGAGTGACCATGCTTCAAAACTTTCTTAGGGTTTGATCTTGAAAGCTATTGTTACAAGCTTTGAAGCCCCTTAAAATTTTTGGGGTGGAAACATAATTTTTACGAGTCGAAAATGAAAACGAGAAAGCTCTACAAGGACAAAAGTGAAAATTCATGTAAACTACATGAACGATTAGTGCAAATTGAAATAATAATAATTTTAATGCATCCGAGAGAAGCGTAAAATTCCACTGTTTTTTGATAATACAAAGAACAATGAAGTACAATTCTAATGATTATATGCCTTGCTCCTTTCCATTGTAACGATAAATAAATGCTCTTTAATTAACTTGCTACGTTTTTTCATAAAAACAATTTATTATGCTCTTAACATTGTTAATAATAATCGAAGATATTAATTAATGCCTCTTTTGGAAGCAATTATTGAACAAACAAAAGTGAGGGGCCTATTACACTACTAAAGAACGGCCTACCATGGAGGAAAATAAGACTCCCCATCATTACTAGACCTAACTAGTGATAAGAGAGATGATTCTCCACGAATTCTCTTCTAATAATAAGGGACACTCCTATTGAAGCAGTGAAAGGTAGATTAGCAAATAGCAACAAGACTATGACACTTGCAAACATTACAAAATTGAACCAATTAAACTTCATACTTTTCATTTACCGATATTTCGCTTCCCAATGCCAGATAAGGTCACATATTCGAATTCCAACAAATGACTCGATAACAGACTCATCAATATGATTAGCAAATATATTAGCATTGGGGAATGCTAGCAACCTTCTCTCTAACCTTCTCCTTTGGACCTTCTCTCATTTTTTGCTTGACATGTGTCATTCTCTTTACACTTAAAACAATGTCATTAATATATTATACAAGTTAACTTTTGCTTTCCAAGTTTACCCTTATTAAATGTATTCAATTTATCCACAAAAAAATTCACAATTTTCTTACCCATCTTATTAAATTTTTTTCAAACGTCAATTATTTTTTTTTAAAATGTCTGCTTTTTTAAAAAAGATGAAATGTCCTTTTTTTTAAAACACAAAGGACTTTTTTTTCTTTTTCTATCTAAACCCTTTGTGTTTTTTTTTTTAAAAAATTTAAAAAAGGGACATTTCCTCTTAAAATTAGATATTTTCTTTATAAAAATAATTGACGTTAGAAAAAAATTAATAAGATGGTAACATAGTTGTGAAATTTTTTTGGATAAGTTGAATACATTTAATAAGGGTAAACTTGGAAAGCAAAAGTTAGCTTGTATAATATATTAATGACATTGTTTTAAGTGTAAAGAGAATGACACGTGTCAAGCAAAAAAGGGAGAAGGTCCAAAAGAGAAGGTTAGAGAGAAGATTGCTAGCATTCCTCATTAGCATTACTACTACACTACTAGCTATTAGTCATTTATTTTTTTTTTTTTTTTTTTTTTTTTTTTTTTATATAATAGCATTACTATCAACTCGCTATTCATTTAACAATAGGTACCAAATTGAATCCCCCCTATCAGGTGGCATTATTACTGAAATTTAATAAAGATGGTGATGGTGTTTTCTCCTTTCTTTTGCTGACTCCCTCCCCATCTTATGAAAGGGTTTTTTTAAAATTTATTTTTGGCAATTAATAATGTTAATTATTTTATTTTATTTTGGGCCTTTTTCTCTTATTATGTTCCACTAATTGTATGGGCCATGTGAGTGTTATTATGGTCCCACTAATTGTATGGAATATATGTTCATCATTCCCCTATAAAGACCAGTCTTTTGATTACACTTCAACTTGGAAACTTTACTAAAGCAGGCCAAGAATTTAATTATCATATCATAAACTCAGAAATATGAAAAATATGATCATGTTGTATGATAGGAAGACAATCACCACATCCGCCGTTCGATACAATCATATGGTTTGCTATTATGAACCCTTTTAGGTCAAAGTAATCATATAGAATGGCAAGAAAAAAGAAAAAAAATTTGAACCATAAAGTTTCATTGGCTTGTAGTGGAGATTGGAGACTAATATTTGTTTTGTGAGGAAGCCCAATGAAATATGTATCATTACTCATTTTTTTCGTGGCAATAATGACCGACATATGTAGTCATTGATTGTGGTCAAAAGAGTAAGGGGGAAAAAGACAATGGTGGTGAGGTTATATAATGCTACAACACAAATAATTTCTTAAAGTTTGAAGATTAATTTCACGGTTACACTAACGAAGGGGTCAATGGTGTAAATATTCATAACTCTATATATGTGGTTGTAAATTGTTAATTTAAAAAAGTTGAGGACGGAACTGAGTACAAACTGTAATTAACCAACCCTAAAATTTTATTTAAAATATTATTTCTAGCTAATTATGTTATAGTTGATTCTCTCTCCCTTTAAAAGTTTTTTTTAAAAAAAAAATACCATTAATTAGAAAGGTCATATGGAGCAAAAGGTGATTGAGAAAAGCTTGGTGGTGACTGGTGAGTGGAAGTGGAACTCACCTCCCTAGGCTACAATCTTCCACTTTCATAATCTTGTATAGAATAGTCGAGCCTAATTTATTTTCTTATGAATGGGAGTTGTTGATGTCTCAAAAAGTAATCATTGCTCGAAGGACATGGGCATTCTTTTTCTCTCCCCCTTTCCCTAACAAATTCTTTATAATTAGTTGATATGTCATGAGGATTATACAAATAATTTAGTATTACGATGTAATGATGACCAAGATGAATGGTTGTACTCTTATCTTGCAAACCAGTGCAGGACCATACATAATTTTTAAGTGTAAAGTTTGTTAATGTCCATTAATGGTGTAATTAGTGTGTAAACAAAAAATTAATTTAATTTAATTTATTTATAATGCCACAGGAATCAAATCTCTTTACAGAGGATGGTGAGGGACGGCGGATTAGATAGCCTAGCTAGATAGATACACATACAGATTACATTTGTAAAGGAAAGATTTGCAATTTATATATGTATGTTTATTAATTTAAGTACTTCCTCAAAAGCCTAAAAAGGTTCTTTGTGGTATGGTGGTTGTGACTTGTGAATAAGCATGCTTGCTGAAAGGTTACGTTGGGATTTCACGGTTTCAATTTTATGATACGGCACCAATTCAATATGTATGCTTCGTACCCACCAGAACACACGCACCCCTCAGAACACACGCACCCCTAGATAGTTAGGAAGAGGGAGGGAGAGAGAAAATAGTCAAATTTGTTTTCTTCAATGAGTACTTTTTTATTTATTTATATTTTTGGTTATATTGATATTAAAAAGGACGATCTTTCGATTCGTCTAAATCGGAACATATTTAACCACCCTTCTTCGCCACTTAAGTTAGCTTTAAATTGTAAAGAACCCATTAGTGTAGAGGTTTAGAGCAATTACTCCTTTAGAAAAAGTCCTAGATTCGAGTCCTAGCATTCTTGAAGTGTGTGAGAGTTTAGTATATATATAAGTTTTCTTCACATTTTATATAGTTAAAATGCTTCTTTAGGAAGTACTTCTGATCATAAGCGCTTCTAGCCAAAATGCTTATATTATAAAAATGTTAAAATTATCATAAAAAATCCAAGAGTTTACTGGAAAAGCACTTAGGACTGCTTCCCAAAGAAACACATACTAGGTGCTTCTCCATAAAGAGTTTCTAGATCCATAAGCACTTTTGCCAAAAGCGCTTTTACCCCTTCTATAAGCACTTCCAAAGAGACCCTAGGATTTTCGGCCTCCTCTCTAACAATACCTATTCTTCTGAGAGATTTGGGGACTAAACGAGTTTAGGTCCTCGGGAGCTTTAGGCTTTAATGTGTGAGAAAGTTTTGAGAGTATTGGGGTTTTGGATTTTGACATTAAAGAGTTGTTGGAAATCTTTGCAATTGCTTTTGCTTATTGGGTAAGTATACCCCCAAAAAAAAGTGTGTTCCTTCTTTTTCTTTGCATTTCTTATACTTCTGCTGCATTGTTTGTGTGTTTTGTGTGAATCTTTTCACAATAATATATATTTGAAATCTTTGAATTATTTGCTATGAGAGCACAAGAAGCTATGCTTTTGGAGATAATCTTTGGTCCTTATAATTTGGTGAAAAATAAAATGAAGGGGGAGAACAAAATTAATTAGTTTGCAGTGGAAGATGGAAAAACAAAATATGGAGAAAACAGTGTGAATTAACAAGGAAAGAAAGAAAAAAAAACCCCACATCCTATTTAGAAAATTAGCAGTTGTTACAGAAGCAGACAATATGGCCAGTTTTGTTCTTGAGAGAGGCATATATAGAATATAGCTCTCACTCAAGAAATTTGGATTTTCTTAGGAAGACAAGAACCCAAGAAACCCTCCAAAATGCCTTCTTCTTTGTCACCCAAACAGAGCCTTACAAGTATACCCTCTTTCCCGCTAAGTTTAACCGCCCTCAACCTTGTTTGAAAAATGTCTTTCAGCCATTTCTCAAACAAGCTATTGGGAAAATAACCAGATCCATTACAAATCCCCTCTAACACCCTCTTATCCACACTAAAACTAACCACGTTATGCTTCCCATATACCTCTTCAAAACACCCTTCAATCTTGGACATGAAGAGCTCGCTTATCTCTCGATCTCTAGCCGGACTTCGATTGAAAACAAACATGTTCTCGATAGATTCGAGGAACCCATGTGGGGTTTGGAGATCGGTGGTAGTTTCGCGAGTCAAGTCACTTGAAATGGGACTCAGCTCCCCTGCTTTGTCTTCAATTTCATCATCCTCTCCAGCCATGAGGTTGAGATCAAGGGTGTTGAAGCTTGATTGCCTTGAGAAGTCCTTCTTGCTATTCACATTCTCAACAGCAACCACACTTAGATCTTCCTTCTCTTCAATTCTTGGAGTCTTGGTCTTGATTTGTAGCTCCCACTCAGCCTTTCGCTTGTGATCGAAGTTAACTCCCCCAAAACTTGGACTAGTACTATGTTTTTCGTCAACCTTCAATGTCATTTGGATTATAGATTTCAGGTACTTTGCCTTGTCTTCATATCTTGTGGAGTCACCCTTAGTCAAGATGAATATGGCTTGGCCTAAATTCCCTTCTCTTCTACTGACTTCTCCGAATTTTCGTGTTTCAAAACCATCAGCTAAAAATTTCAAGAACTGGGTGTCAGCCAAGTCAACATCTTCTACCAGCACGACAAGTTTCTCATTGGATTTCAAGGCTCTTCCTAGGACTTCTGCTCTTGGGTTCATCTCATTGTCTCTTTTGTTCATGTTGAAGTGGAGAAGTGAATCAGTAGAACCCATAACTAGTTCTGCAATTGCCTGCGCCAACCTTCTTTTTCCAATTGAGTCATTCCCCTGAATCAGCAACCAAGTCTCCTGCCGGGACGATTTGGAGTCAATGATGGCTTCTACTATTGAAGGAATGGATTCTGATTGCCAAGGAACATTCTCTTTCAATAGCTTACACATGTCAGCTCTCTGCATTGTTCTTTCACTTCTTTTTCTTTCCACCGATTTCCCTGAATCAGAAAACACAGAGTTGCCAAGAGCAAGGGTGATCTTTACTTCCTTGCCTTCAGTGCTTTTCAGAGAATCCAAACTTGGTTCCACCACTTGATTTTTTTGGACCCCATTATTGAAATTGAACTCAATTGTGCACGATTGTTGTCTCCTGAATCGGGGCACGAGATTAGAGCCATGGGTGGGTTCTGAAGCTGGATCATGACCAAAGGAGATTGAATTCAAATCCGGGGAGACCCCATTTCGGGTAGACCACCAAGGGTATGTTGAAGCATAAGAGTAGTTCTTTCCAACTAAGCCTTGATTGTTGTACAAATTAGCAGAGCTCAAATGATTCTGAACTGTATGCCTTCCTTGGTGCTGCAGACTGTAACATAATCTGTTCCACTTTCTCCTCAACTCAGCCACTTCATCCTGAAAATTATAATGATATATCAGAATTAAATTAAAGAAAAATAATAATAAATCAATCTTGCTGGCTCAGTTATCACTAGGTTTCTTTTTTTCTTTTTCTAAAGTTGTGATCCATAAGTCAAAAAGTTCTTTCACAAATGTGAAATGGTACCTTTTGACGGGCTTCGGTGCCATGTGGTTGCAGCCAGGCAGGCAATTTCTGCTGGCCAGATTTCAGCTGCTGAGCTTCTTTTTCATAATTTGAAGTGCATTCTTCACAGCAAGTGATGTTATGATCTTGTTCATCTTTTCTGTTGAATGGTTTTGGTTCTAGCACTTCAGATGGGCTCTGAGAGAAGATTATTCTTGAGTCATGGACACTGTCAAACATATAAAATGCAACACACGTCAGCTTCTGTAAATAGCAGCTTCATTTATCACTGCTATATCAAGATCAAGTATTTAATTAATATGAAGCAGCTATCTAAAACTAAAAAAACAGAATTCTATTTTGCTAATACAACTGTTTGAAGAACACGCTTGATAAAGAATATAGTATACATTGGACAGATGCAATTATCTCGAGAACAAATTAGCTGCAACGGGGACATCTCAATAATGCTATGCTACATGGAAATGTTATCACGCATGTCATAGTGCTATTGGTCCGTTTCATGGAATTCTTTCTCCATTATCTCAGACATCTGTACACCTTTGTACTTTTATGTTAGTTTTTTTTTTGGCCCCTTGTCAATGGGGACAAATTCATTTAACTGAAAAAATATATATATATATTTATTTTGCTTTTAAGTAACTATAATGCTCTTAAGGGTTCTCCAAAATAGTTTGCTACATGGAAATGTTATCACGCATGTCATAGTGCTATTGGTCCGTTTCATGGAATTCTTTCTCCATTATCTCAGACATCTGTACACCTTTGTACTTTTATGTTAGTTTTTTTTTTGGCCCCTTGTCAATGGGGACAAATTCATTTAACTGAAAAAATATATATATATATTTATTTTGCTTTTAAGTAACTATAATGCTCTTAAGGGTTCTCCAAAATAGTTTGCTTAGTTAAGTTGGAACTTGCAGAGTCCTATTCCTTTAAGTAAGACAACCAAAATAAACAGAAACAGTTCTTTATTTTGAAATGTAAACAGGGTTTCTGATTTTTTTTATTTTTTTGTTTTGTTTATTAAAGGTGAACAAAATAAAACAAAACAAAAGAAAAAAGAAAAAACAGACCTTGTAAACTTTTGTTTTTGTTTTTTTCCATCTTAAACATCTATCAGTGAAAACTGTAATTTTGATCAGTAGCTTATACAACCTGACAAAACAAAGAGAAAAGAAAAGGACACCGGTTCGTTCGTATATCTGTCTCCCTTTGCCTAAGTGGTTCTGATTTCATGCAGACCATGTAACAGAATAGTACAAAACATTAAAGCTTCAAGAACTGATCTATGGAGGACTTATGCATCATCTATCAATAACAGACATGAAATAATAATAATAATAATATTATTATTATTAAATACAGCAAGAGATGATGATTTACCTGGAACCATGGAGGCTCAAACCAAGTCCACCTGATGGAACAGAAACAGCTTGAAGACACCATTGGATCTCAAGAGGTGGTTGCCTCATTTGGCACCTCATGTATGTCTGGTAACTTGCAGTTGCCATCAACCAAACCTTTGGCTTTGAGCTCGAGTTTGAGCTATTTTCATAGTCTGAGACCAACCTTGAAATTTCTGCAACTAAATGCTCAACTGGGCTATAACCAGTTGAGGCTTGATCTCTTCTCTCATCATCATTAATAGTCCATTTCAAGTCTCCTGTGTAAATGATAGCACCTCCTCCTCCTCCTCCTGCTGCACCTCCACCTGATGCAAGAGAGGAGTCTATATTTCTTTTCAGCTCTGAAAGATGTGCTTCAATATCTTCTCTCTTCATGAACCTCAGAGAAACTGGTGAGAATTGGAACTTGATGAAATGGGTTGATTTCAGTTCCTCAGGAACTTGTAGGCCTCTTTCTATCCTCCCCATGACCTCAGAAACAAGGCCTTCAGTTATGGACATAGAATCACCAACTATCACAGTGTTCCTCTTCTTCTTCCTCAACAAGACCTCAAACACCAACTTGATATCTTCCTTAGAAGCAGAGTGCTCTGTGGAAGTAGTAGTGGTACTGGTGGGGTTGATCAATGAAAGTTTTGTCTTTTGTGGGGAAAAAAGAACTGGGTTTTGCTCACAAGTGTAAGACAAGAAATGAGTTTGCCAAAAGTTACCAGGAATATTATTATTTTGATGGTGATGATGATGATGATGATCAGTGGGAGGAGAAGGTGAACAAGGAGAAGAGAAAACCCCACCAGAGCTACTATAACACTGAAAAACAGAAGAGGTTGATGTGTCCTCTAAGTTGTTCTTGACATTAGTGCTAGAGAAACCAGCTTCTCTCATAACCCTGCTGACACTTGGGTCATCAAGGATGGAGATGATAAGCTGCTCCAACTCAACTTTGATGGTTAAAAGTGGCTGCTGCTGCTGTTGTTCTATGCAGCCCCTTCTCTGGTGGGCTTGTGCTCTCTTGAGTGCTGCAATCAGAGCATTGGAGAGAGAGGGCTGGCCATGGAGCAGAGGGCCAGGAGTTGTTGGGAGCCTGTTGAGAGCCACATTGAAGCAAAGCTCAAGAGCTCTGCATTGGAGAGGATGAGAAGTTTGGTGTGGCTGAGATTTGAGACAAGCCCTCCTCAAAAGACTGGTCCTTGAGCTGAGCAAAGTGGCAGCCACATGAAGAGGAGTGACCTGAGCATGGCCTCTCCTCCTTGCCAAGCTGAGAGAGTGCTTCAAAACTGAAGCAGCCTCCGCTGTGAGGGTCTGCTGAACCGCACAAGTTCCTGAGCGCATCACTGGACCAAAACCCACCCCCCAACCCACCCCTTAGTTTGTGACAACTTATCTTCAGAACCAGAATATCACTAGTTTTCTTTTTTCCTTCTCTTATAATCCCCCTCTTCCTCAACACCACCCCCACCAACTATTAACCTGAGAAGAAGAAGCTAAGGAAAAAAAATGGAACTTTGGAAACTACTATCACACACCACCAGCTCAAGTAGAAGTAGAGAGAGAGAGAGAGAGAGATAGTGAGTTTTAGAAAGATGAGCTTTCAGCTGATAGAAGGGAGTTTAGTTGAGCTTTAGAGAAAACCAGGCTAGACTAGGCCACCTTCTTTATACTCCCTGCTCTTGAGTTTTCTTTTTATTTTAGTACTATTTATGTTTTCTTTTTTTGTGATTAGCTTTTGTTAGCTTTTCATTTCCACTCCATTGCTTCTTTCTCTCTCTTCTGTTCAGAGTTAACAGTACTGCGCCATCTTTTTATCACCCATTCTTATGTCATTAAGATTTTTGTTTTTGGAGACAATTAGTATAAAAAAAGTAACTTTTTATAATCATTTTCATCTGTTGGGACTTGCAAATCTCAATATACATGGTAAGTTTTAATGGCATATGATGCACTTATATATATATCTATATATCAAATAATTTTTTCCCTCATTCATTATGATCATCAAAAGCTGCAAAAGGAAGATTTCAATCCTACCCTTACTCTTTTTTTTTCTTTGTTACTTCAATGATAATAGTATCAATGTGCTTCATAAATATTCACAACAAGAATAAAAAAATCTTAGGATATATACTATATAGTAACAGTATCAAGCCCTTTCTGCTGTGGAAGATGGTATCATTTTTATGCAAATGGGATTTCATCAAAAGGGTCCATTACATGGGATGGGACCCAAAATTCAAATTTTTATCGTGGCACAAGGAGAGAAAGAGAGCTTCCCTCCTTTTTACACATCAGCCTTTGAATGGACAGACAAAGCCAGCAGAAATTCAAAAACAGTACTAAAGGGGAAAGGTGGAAAGAAGCCAGCTGAGTGTGTGATGAAAGATAAAAAGGCCACACTCCTATTTTATATTTTATTTCATTGTTTTTCCCTTCCAAATTTTCCTTTCTCATGTTTATCATTTGTTCTTTAGATGCATGACAGATATGTACAAATATTGGCTTGTTCTTAATCTTAAACATAGAGATAGAGGAGAGAGAGAGAGAGAGAGGAGAAAAAGAAAGGAGCCTCTCAATCCCTTCACCTTAATCCTCGTCAGAGACAGCATTTATTCCTCAATTACCCAAAAAGCACCCTCTGGCTGCGCTACATGCATTAGCTTCTCAGGCTCGGGGCTCTCAGTTTTAAAAAAAAAAAAAAAAAAAAAAAAAAAAAAAAAAAAAAAAAAAAAAAAAAAAAAAAAAAAAAAAAAAAAAAAAAAAAAAAAAAAAAAAAAAAAAAAAAAAAAAAAAAAAAAAAAAAAAAAAAAAAAAAAAAAAAAAAAAAAAAAAAAAAAAAAAAAAAAAAAAAAAAAAAAAAAAAAAAAAAAAAAAAAAAAAAAAAAAAAAAAAAAAAAAAAAAAAAAAAAAAAAAAAAAAAAAAAAAAAAAAAAAAAAAAAAAAAAAAAAAAAAAAAAAAAAAAAAAAAAAAAAAAAAAAAAAAAAAAAAAAAAAAAAAAAAAAAAAAAAAAAAAAAAAAAAAAAAAAAAAAAAAAAAAAAAAAAAAAAAAAAAAAAAAAAAAAAAAAAAAAAAAATCATTCATTTGTACAAGAAAAAAAGAGATTAATAATGCCTTAGCACCTAAACCTATCTCTCAAGCCTCGCAAGCACTTTCCAACTGATTCATCTGCTGCTCCATTGATGAATAATCAAATTTATTTCGCTCCTATCTGCCTTGGAAGATGGCCATGCCTTTAATTTATAATCTCTTCCTCTTACAAATGCCATATACAGCTAATAATAGATAGCAGTCTTGGTGGCTTGCTAATGACTTTGTGCCCCGTCGCCCCCTATTATCTACTTACCCCTACCTATTTTATGAATTTTACATTGGGCTCAGCCGTCCCCCCGCACTATTAGCCCACTAATAGCATGGACTAGTGTAGATGCATTCCAACTCCAGCCCCATTGGTAAAGTTAGATAAAATTTTCCATCCACTTTCTTTCCGCTGCACCCCCACCCTTCTCCTCCTTGAATGTCATTTTTGCTCCCGTCCCCTGTTTTTATCTTAAATGAGTTTGCGGATTCTTTGAACGTATTATTTGGGCAATTATAAATTATTTTCAAGTTTGGTTTCATCGCTATATGATGCAGTGACCATGCTTTTTTTTTTCCCAAACTTTCTTAAGGGTTTAATCTTCGAAAGCTATTGTTACAAGCTTGAAGCCCCTTAAATTTTTTGGGGGCCGCCAGTAAACATAATTTTTACGCATGTCGGGAAAATGAAAACAGAGAAAGCTATAAGGACAAACAAGTGAAAATTCATGATAAACTACATGCAACGATTATGCAAATTGAAATAATAATAATCCTCTAACCCGCCACTCGAGAGAAGCAGCCTCAAAATCCACTCTGTGTGTGCACAGTAATTTACAAAGAACAATGAAGCTACAATTCTAAGGATTATATGCCTTGCTCCTTTCCATCTGCTAACGATAACCACCAGAACATGCCTCTTTAATTCCACTTGCTACAGCTTTCTTTCATAAAAACAATTGATTATGCACTTAACATAGGTAATAATAATCGAAGATATTAATTAATAGCTCTTTTGCAAGCAATTATGCAACAAACAAAAGTGATGCCGGGCCTATTACACTACTAAAGAACGGCCTACCATGGGAGGAAAATAAGACACCCATCATTACTATTGACCTACTAACTAATAGTGAAAGCGAGATGATTCTCCACGATTCTCGTTAATAATAATAAGGGCACTCATATTGAAGTACATGTGAAGGTAAATAGCCACATTAGCCACAAAGACTATGACACTTGCAACATTACAAAATTGAAACCCAATTAAACTCTCATACTTTGCATTTCATTCACGAATATTTCGACCTTCCCCAATGCCAGATAAGGTCACATATTCGGAATTCCACAACACTGCACTCGATAACAGATAATCAATAATGATTAGCAAATATCTTAGCATTGCCGGAGAAGATAGCAACCTTCTCTCTAACTTCTCATTTAGGACCTTACTCCAATTTGTTAGCCACTTGACATTATTCTCTTTAACCTTAAACAATGTCATTAATATTATTAGAACAGTTCAACTTTTGCTTTCCACACGATCTTACCCTTATTAATGGATTCAATCTCTATCCACACAAACGAAATCCACAATTTCTTCCCATCATTAATTAAATTTTTCAACGTCAATATTTCTTTTTTTTTTTTTTTTAAAATGGCTGTTTTTTAAAAAAAGAAGGAATATGTCTGTTATTTTAAAAAACAAAGGACTTTTACTTTTCTACGTATAACCCTTGTGTTTTTTTTTTAAAAAAATTTAAAAAGGCGACATTTCCTCTTAAAAATTAGAATATTTTCTTATAAAAAATAATTGACGTTAGAAACAAAAATTAATAAGATGAGACTGAACATAGTTGTTGAAACTTTTTGGATAAGTTGAATACATTTCATAAGGGTACAACTGCGCAAAGAAAAAGTGAGCTTGTATAAATATATTAATGAATTGCTTTAAAGTGTAAACGAGGAATGACACGTGTCAAGCCAAAAAGGAAGAAGGCACTCCAAAAGAGAAGGTTAGAGCAGAAGTAGTTGCTAGCAGTTCCTCTATTCGCATTACTACCAACTAGCTATTAGTTCCCCGGTATATTTT